TATATATATATTTTGAGACTTAGTGTTACTTTTAGGTAACTCAAGAAAAACACATAAATTCCTTATGCTTTAAAGGGAAAAAATGCATGATAATTAAATAAAACTTCGCCATAATGAAAGAGCTACTTCCAGAGCCTGTGGCCATTGAAAATAAAAATGCGTCTTCATCTTATAGCAGTCCTTTTATATATTTCTTCATTTTTTTTTCTTCTCAGGCCAAAACTTTTCCATAAATGATAATAGTCAGTTGCTCTGAGGGTATAGTGCAGTCTACATTCAGGACTGGTTTTAAATCAAAAAGAACCTCATTCTTCTGATGAATTGATAAATTGCTTTTTGAGTCAAATGAAGAAACTAGGGTTTTCTCTACTGCATTTTTCCTCATCCAGGAATGCTCCCCTCTCAGATGGCCGAGTGGCTTGTTCAGGCAACCAAGACACACACCAAAAAACCCTGTACGTTCTCCTGAATTCAGCTCTCTCAGCCTCAAGCTTCAATCATTTAGATCACCCATCTGACTCTACTTCATGGCAATACAATTTGCCAACTCTTGTAATGAATATTTCCATACTGTGATGAAAAATATTCCTTTCTGGGAAATGTAGCTTAGCTATATGGACTTAGTCCAGATACTAATTATGCACATTTATTTTTAGAAAATTTGAAAGGATTTTTTTTTTTTTTTGCTCCTTAGTGATTATTATGCAACCCATAGAATCTCTACAATTTTTCTTTTGTTCTTATATTAATTAAAAAAAAAAACTCATCTTCGTGTAAGAAAATATGGCTGTTTAGTATAAAACAGTGGGCTAATAACCTTGCCGTATCACAAAGAAAAATAGCCTGGAAGCCGATGCTTTATTTTTAAAGGAGAGTCTGCTATTAGTACATGCCATAACTTAGCACATATCTGGGGGCAGTACCACATCGTTCTAATTTAGACTATCAGTAAACCGTAATTCCCCAAATAGTATTTGACCCAGTGGTTCTGAGTTGCTTTTATGAAAATTTGGTCAATTGGTGAATCAAAAATCAGCCACAGTCCTAATCAAAAGTAATATTTAATATTTCTCGGGAGTATAGTACACATTTGCAATTTCCTGGATCTTAGGAACATTATAGATTATGGATAAATATGTAATTAGAGTTTTAAAACACACATTATGAAGCCTTTCTTTTCTGCATTCGGTTTTGAATCAAATTGAAAACAGACTTAATAATCAGAGGAGCAATCACCCAGGTTTTCAGAATCAAAGACCCTTGAATTATATCTGAGGGTACAAATACTGGCAGATGCTCAAAGGAGCCCGCTCTGGGGTGCATGTTGGATTACTTTTAGTTTTTACAAACTAGAACAATAATTACAGCCATTAACAGATACCCTTATCACTTCTATAAACACTGGATTATTTTTTTCTGGCCTCAATTATTTATTATGAAATGGTTTACTACTATAGAAAAGTACCACGGACGTGCACCAACCACTTTCCTGTATGAATATCCTTTCATGTCTTTGACAGTTAATCATTCTTACCTTCGCCTGTATACCATGTTTTACTCTGGAATTTATACATTTATACTCTTATCCTGACTCTAACCAAATTATTATAATATCGATGATCCTATTGCTCTAGTGTATGTGTGTGCATATACATACATTTACTTATACAGTATCTCTAAGTAAAATACAATGCATTTTATGCAACTATTAATCTAAAAGCACTCTTCTGTGTTTTCTGGTTGGTAAACACATAGAGATTGGGGAGAGTGGCAAGCTCACAGAAGCCCCTTACCCCTTCCCGCATACCTTACCCTATGCATCTATCTCTTCTATCTGGCTGTTCCTGAGGTGTATTCCTTATATAATAAGCTAGTAATCTACTAACTAAAACAGCAATAATAATAATACTATTCCAGGCTTAAAGACCAAGACAAATAAACACTCTCACCTAAGAGACACATTTCATAAAAGCTGTATGAGAAGTGTCTTATACATGTAACTACATGGTCAATATTGCTTCACAATTAATCGAAGAAAGAAAAGGGTTAAAAAGCTACCGGTTAGTTTGAGAAATGTTCTTTTTTAGTTCTCCTGTCCCTGGCCTAGTCTCAAGCTAGCACGTGATCCACTGAATGCCTTCCAGCCTCTTTCTTGTTGATCCTCCGGGGACCATCTGTGCTGGGGGCATTGATTAGAGTGTGTCTGCCGGGATTACATCTTTTCTGTTGCCATGCCAACTAATCAGCTGATTTTGGTTACCACAGAAACAAAATGTCAGAGCTCACAGTACGGTAACATGAATTCAGCACAACAGAAAATGTTTTCTTAATTGGGGACCCATTTGATTTTGGATTCCAAGTGAAAGGCAGCTTTAAAAATAAAAGGGCAACTTTAGATAAAAGCTACATTAATTGTATTGATTAGGAGGAATGCACAGAATTTTTCTGAAAGAGAAAACATTAATTCCCCTTTATAAGCTATGCCCATGTTTTACCATTTCCAAACCATATATAACTTAAGCACCTCTGTTCCATTTGCTGATTGTTTCATATGAAATAAATCACAAAGCCTTTAATTTCCTTTAACTTCCAAGGTGGGGGCAGGGACAGGGAGGCTTCACAGGGCTGGGGAGGAGGCTGTGAGTATAATTATTTGGGGAAGACCAGCGCTGACCAAATTCTCCTCCATCCTTTCATTTAAGGAAGTCATTTAATTTTTTTTTTTTTAAAAAAAAAGAAAACACCCAACACAGTCAACTCAGACTCAGTTCTAAGGATTGTACTCTTGCACATGATATGCCCTGGATAAGCTGATTCCTTGGTTTGGGCTTAGAAAGGAAGAGCCCAAGGCTTATTATAATTTTACCTTTCATAGCCCCATGACAGTCTGACTGCAAGAAGCGTCCTCAACTGATGTGCTATCCCGCAGTAAATAAAAGGCGCAATTTAACTTGACCTTACAGATACTTGAATTGAGTAATTCATCAGAAGGTCCACATCCAGGCCCTCCCATTATGAAATTCTATTCCAGTGGAAGTAAACCAGAATTTCCATCTGCCTTGGGTTTATGGTTCATAAAACACAAAATGAATAGATTAGATAATAATAATAATAATAATAATAATAAAGCATGACATTTAACTAGGCTAATATTTGTTTAAACATCCAATAATCCTCTGTCTTAAAAAAAAAATGGGGGGGGCGTTTATAGCATCCAAATATCCCTATCCAGTATTGTCAAGACATTTCATTGTCACTGGCTGGCTGTAGTTACCTTCCTTTTGTGAAAGCCTTCACTGCATGTGGCTTCTGTCATGCCAACACCCCAGGGGGAATTGTGTGGCTTAATCTCCATGCGACTCTTTTGAAAACCTTGGTAAATTAATTCCAGTGCTGAGGTGCTTGAGATGAGTGGTTTGGGGACACTGACATCTTCCCCTATTTCAGTGTGCTCAACTGTCGTGGCTAAGATCAGAAGCGAGGCTCTGAAGACCACTCCACTGAGGAGTTTGGGGGCAAGGTGGCCAAATGCCTAAATTACCCACAGATTCTGCTAATTGGATTTGAGTTAGAGGTCCTCACCCAGATTATCAATAATTATCTTATAGTGCTTCTGAGACCTTTGATAAAATGAAAATGGCAGACATTAATAGCATCTTTCTTAAGTAGTACCCCATCAACACATGTTATTAATTCTCCTGTACTGTATTTGTGGCTTAAATTAGAGTGACTAGAAACCACTTAACCCCAGTGCCTAGGACATAGTTGGAACTCGGTAAGTGGTGGCCTTTTGTATTAAATTCTCAAACAGGGAAATGAATATTAATATATCATAAAAGGTTGATATAAATTGCTAATTATCTTTATAGACTATAGTTTTAGAAATGTTCGTATCACCTATTGAGTTAATTGTAATTTACGTTTTTTCAAAATATTGTGTAGTGTAGTGATTTCCAAAGTTTTGTATGTTTGTTTTTAGCATAGGAAATCTTTCTCCAAAAAAGCTTGGCCAGCAGCCCAATATGTTAAAACAGATAAAAACTGAAGCTGATCTGGTTGAATCTAGGAAATGAGATGGGTCTCTGAGTCCACGTAGAGGCCAATCTCTTCCCGGCAGAGCCCCCAAGATACCTCTCCTGAACCCCTGGGTCTTAGTTAGCACCAGTGGTCTCGGGTTCTGTGTTCTTAGGTTGCATTTAATTTATAATCTTCAGAGCTGTCATTTACTATCAAGCTACTATGTGCCAGGTATAATACCAGGCAATCTACAGACATAAGTTTCTTTAATATATTTTCACAACAACCCTACCTAAGGGTATTATTATCCTCATTTTACAGATGAGAAAACTGGAACTTAGGGCATTTATTTGATTTTTTCCCACAGTTTCAAAATGAGTGAAAAGTCAACTCAGGATTCAAATCTAGCACTTTCTGTTGCCAAAGCCTCTATCCATCACTTGTACCATTTCTTTAAGGCCAGCATGGACTGAATAATTAGTTGTAATGATTTGAACTGGACTAATGAGCGACCATGACTACTTATCTTATAGTTGAGATAAGCTGGGTGGTGTGTGATTGCCTAGTATTTTCTTCCATTTCAAAGTCATTAACAGTGAAAAGAAAGGTAGATAAAATAGGAACTATGAGCTACAAATGATCTGAATATCAAAAAAGGTAAAAAGGTTACTCTATCATGGATCACTCTATCAAGGAAGAGAGCCTCAGAAATTCTTTTTTTTTAATTATTATTAATAATACATATTTTTCTTGGAAAGATAAATTTGCCTCTCCCCAGCCCCCAAAGGCTAGCCCTTTATGCAAGCAGAATTTGTCATTGCCAATACAATGTGATTCAAGGGATGTACTCTAAGTATGCCTCTGTTTTTAACGTCTCAGTAACTGAGACCTGTTGCTTTGGGTTATGCATTGTCCCCTGGAATTTCTCTTGGAAAAGGAGAACCTCTGTTTGGGTAACCTTGTAGTATTTTGTACTTCAGCATGAATGATTTCATTAGGTACTTTACCCCAGAATGGGATTAACCAAAATTCGAACAAGAGCTCAAGCTCCTATGGTAGAAAGATGATGAAAAGGAAAAAAAAGTATGCGAGAGAGTATCATTGTGTGGGATGCGCACGTGTGCTAGGCGTTTCTGACATCATATCACTGTGAGAAGGGGTTTGTGTCCATATTTACAAGTGAAGAAGAAATGGAGGCTCACAGACTTTTGCTCGTAACAGGTAGAGTTACTACAAGCTCGTCGCTAGCTGTCTTTTGAACCCACTGATTATGCTTGTATTTGTCTCAGTACACTATGGATAAGCCACTTGTGTCCTATTTTGTCAAGATCCAGGGCCACCCAAGGATAGTCAGGGAGATGATGCTGAGTAGCTGACACGTGAGTTACAGAAAAATGCAGCATTCACAAAGTGCATAACAAATGAGTGTGTTGTTTGTCACTTCTAGGTGTGTACAGAAGGCAGACTGATCTTGGAGTTCACCTTTGATGATCTCATGAGAATAAAAACATGGCACTTTACCATTAGACAATACAGAGAGTTAGTCCCAAGAAGCATTCTAGCCATGCATGTAAGTAATTTGATTTCTATTTCACTTTTGTTCCTATTATCTCAACGTATTATTCAAGGCGGAAAAGCAGTTTCTCTGTGAAAGAACTCCAGCCGTCTCTACATTTTAGGTAATTAACTCTAAACTTTGAGTCTTTCCGTCAACCATTTTAATCCACAGGCCCTTCCTCCCTTCCGTTGTTCCTGAGTGTGGTGAATTGAGACTTTTTGTGTGTGTGATACTTTATTATTTTAAACTCTAAATTGAGGTTACCTCAATAAACAGTTTGTACTTTTCTTAAATTCCATTCAGTCATTATCTAGTACTGCTCTGCCTGGGCTAATAAACCTGTTATTTATAACCGGGGAAAGAAATAAAACAGGAAGTGAGAAAAACAGTTTCCAGTTTTGATTAGAACCATCTGAGGAGACGAGGGCCACCTGGACCTCAGACCTGTGTTAACAGCAGTTGGCTCTTTCTGACCAGCGTTGGAGTGAACTGGAATATTTGGGGTTCTCTTGGTTTCCTTTGGACATAAATCACATCTAATTTATTGAACAGCAACTAGGTGCCAGAGTGGATTTGATGCTAATGTTTTAAAGATAAGACTTGGTGGAAACTGGTCAAGGGCACTCTCTTAAGAAGGAATTTAAAGGCATTGACTTAAATAAGTCCCTCCCCCATCATGCATGATATGGCCTTTTCCATGAAAAAGTTTTGGAGCAAAATCAGACTTAATGAGCCTTTTTTTTTTAAAGACCCAATATAATCAGAAGAGAATAAAATAACAGTAGCTGGCATTTATTGGGTGTTTGCTATGCAGGGCCTCGTGCTAAACATTTTATACAGGCTTATAATTAATCCCCAAAGAAACTCAGAGAGGTGAGTTATCATCATTCCTATTTTAGAAGTGGGGAAAGTGAGGCTCAGAGAAGTTCAACGAGGGGCTCAATGTTTTTCAGCCTGAAAGAGGCAAAATCAAGATTTTAACTCAGTTGGTTCTAATTCCAAAACTCAGGCTGATAAGACAACCGTCTCCCGATCACACTCCAGCTGTCTCCCAGGCTTTGTCCTCAACCCTCTCCTGATTGGTTAGCCTGCTCTCTGCCCTCGTGCTTTCTTCTGTGGCACCCCCGGTCTCCTGCTCCATTTTTTCTGCCTCTTCATGCCCAAGTCCCACTCCATTTTCAAAGCTCGATGCATATCCTCCACTCTCCTTGAAACAGTCTGTAGTAGCCACTCTCATTAGACTCAAAACAGACTGAGAGGCGGCTGGGAGTAGAGGTCAGGAGCTTGGGCCCCAGAATGAGACCACGTAGGTCTCCTGTGTGACTTGGTACTGGTGGCGTGACATCTCTGTGCTTCCAGCCCCTCATCTATAAAAATCAGTACAGTAACAGAGCCTGCATCAGAAGACTGGTTTGAAGATTGAATTAATGCTTATCAAGAACAGAGAACAGTGCCTGGCACATAGTAGGTCCTCTGCAAGTATTGCTGACTGGCTTGCAGCAGCAGCAATGATGTCTTCCCATTCGTTTATTATTATCCTGTCATCTGACCACAATAGAAGGTCCTGGAAGTCGAGCACGACCGCTGGGCGCATCTCCCTGAATCAGCCTGTCCTGGCGTGTGGGAGGTTCAGGAAATATTGGCTGCATGTCTAGAGAGGACTCTGCAGAAATTGACATGAAAGTGACACTCTCCAGAAATTGACATGAAAGTGACACTCTCCGTTTTCTCCTACATTTTCTCTTTTATTTATATACACAGAGCCAATTGGTAATATCACAATGAGGAAATTCTTCAGAAAAGAATAGTGTTAGTAGAACCTAGATAATCTCGTGCACACAGACGTGGAGAGAAAGGGATATTTACCTTAAGTCTCCCTCTGTTAAGCACCAATTTGCTCAAACCGATTAAGAAATAAAAAAGACAGGACGAAAGATCATCGACCAAAAGATTTATCTCAAACTAGAATCCAGAAAGAATTTTCACTTTTTTTTTCTGGCCGAACAGAACATTTGAGGTGGCCCATGGAATGTTCCGTCCCTCTTTTAAGTGTGGCTGATATTCTGGAAAATGTAATGCTTGAATGGCAGTTGCAAAGTTTTCAGATATAGTCCTAGACTCCGCGCTGTTAAAACAATACTATTACAACAGGGAACAAACATGGCTTTCCCAAATCCAGAAGCTGTGCCCACTCCGATGAGGGCCGGAGACCTACAGATGTCCTTCCTGGCAGGGTTTACTGACCCTCCTCCTGAAGACACAAGGCCTCTCACAGAGAAAATCAAGTCGTTTCTCCCAAGCACATGACTCAGTTTGGGTCTCCCTGGCCAGGGTTTTTGCACCATGGATCCGCAAGTGTCCTTGAGCATTATGGGCAAGTGTCTTCAAATGCAAATTAAATTATCTTGGGCAACCCGGCCCTCTGAGAGCAATCAACGCTGTCAAGGCTGCATTTCTTAGCAGCTGTAGCACAGTCTGAGACTTGCTGCAGATCGTCTTGCAGGAATAAAATACATGATTTTTCTTTCCTGTTTAGGCACAAGACCCTCAGGTTCTGGATCAGCTGTCTAAGAACATCACCAGGATGGGGCTAACGAACTTTACCCTCAACTACCTCAGGGTAAGACCAATGTGCTGATTGTATTTCCTAGTGTGTTTGAAACATACTTAAAGGTTTATGCGTATCTTGAACCAAGGAGTTAAAATGAGGTAATATAGCACAGTATATATTTCCTGCACCATGGTGTGTGTGTGTGTGAGAGAGAGAGAGAGATTTAATTAACAAGCAGCAAACGCAGACTTTGTCAGGGTTGAGCTTCCTCTACACATTTGTATCACACTTGGAATAAATTATTTTAAAGCTGGCAACGTCTGTCTCATAAAATGCCTTGGTATTATGTCCCTCTGGTTGTCTCTTAAGTTTCTATTGTACTGCTGTGGAGTTCACAGCCTCTGGGTCCCCACCCAGGGACCAGTCACCCCTGAAGAGACTCAATGTGCCTCCAGAGAGATGCCCTGAAGGAATGCAAACCAGCGCTATCGCACAGAGACGTATTTCTAAGGCTTCTTAGGGACTGTGAAAAATGTAACAGATTTTCTGGTTTGGTAATAAGATCAATTTTTATTTTTAAAAAAACTAAGTGCTAGGCGAAATTCTCTGCCTACATAACATGCCTCCGTATTTGGTGTTTCGCACCAGTTGTGAGTGTGTAGCTGCAGTGATCCTGTTGCAAGTAGAGGAAGTGGTTCCCTTTGTAGATCAAGCTTTGTCGCCCAGAATGGACCGGAAGGCAGAGGCCACCGTCCACTGAGTCGCTGAGTCGCTTCCTCGTCGATGTGTAGCAGTTCACTTCTCCGGCCCCGTCCCCCAAAGTTTATCCTATCATTTCTTTCTCCTTCAGGGCTGCATGCGTTAGTGAATTTTGTTGTGTGTTCACAATCCTCTGTGTACAGTCATTTTCGCTCATATTGAAATGCTGAAGCGCTTTGGCCGACTTTCTGTTCTGTGGTTTAGGAATGATTTAGACAAGTGCTTCCAAGTCATGTCCGCCTTGCAGGGAGTGCGCCAGGAGCTAGGCTCCATGTCGAAGGTTCAAAAGCCGTGGTACCGGCCATCAAGAAATTCCCTCCCATGAGGGTCAGAACTATAAAGAGAGAGCATTATAAACAAAATGGTAAATGCCATGATAGAAGTTTCCAGATGGGATTGGGAGAGTACAAAACAGGGACGTCTCAGAAGAGTTAGTCAGAGAGGGCTTCGTGGAGGAGACGATCCCTGAATTCAGTGTGAAAGAATGAACCAAGGTGAGCCGAGGAAGCAGGTAGAAAGGCCATTTCCGTGAGAGGGGAGAGGAGCAGCGTGGATCAGGGGGTGGAATTCCAAGCCGTCAGACGATGCTGGGGCCTGGAGTGAGAAGCCGCGATGGGCAGGAAACATTGCTCTTTGGAGCCAGGTTTTGGAGCCATGGCTGGCCAGGCTACTAGGCTGGGAGCATCTGGAAGGATTAAACACGAGGCTGGCAGGGACCTCCTCCTGGGTGGACGGAAAAGGCACCTTTTCTTTGCAGCCTAAATGCCCAGAGCCAAATCTAAGTGTGGCGAGAGCCGGAGTCAGCTTCACCTCCTCCACTCTGCACACCCAAACCAGGTCCTTCTTCACTGAACAGCCCCGTGGTCCCTGCTCAGCGGGAAACCAGTCAGCAGGTGTGTGCTCCCAACCAGGGTCACAGGAGCCACATTCTCCCAAAGCTCCAGGCTCTGCCTTCAGACCCGGCCCCTCTGTGGGGCCAGCGGCACAGCAGAGGTAGGTGGCAGGGTATGGGGAAGTGAGTGTTCACGGGAATTCAGGAGGCTGCTCCACACTGCGGGGCATTTTATCTGGTCAGGGACCCTGAGATGTCTGGTTTAAACCCTCTGAAAACACCTCTCCTCAGCAGATGAAGAAGTTCCACGCTGTGCGTCCTTAGTTGACCCACTGAGGACTCTGAAGCTTTGGAGTCTATCCTAGCCTGGGTCGCTAACCCCCTGGCATGATCTTGAACAGATTCTTCATTACATCTTTTAGCTGCATTTCACACAGATTCGCGAATGCTAACTTTCCCCTTTCCTTCCAGCTCCTCTCATTTCACCAGTAAAATGGTGGCCTTCGCCCTGGGGTCAACGAAGCCCACTTGGTCCCCAGGTCTTGCGGTTTTCTGATTCTAGCCCAAGAAGACTGCGGTGATCACACCTGCAAAGGGGTGACAATGACACCAGCACCTTTCCCGACAATAAATCAAGAACACCATTTATGGGTCGGGCGATAGAAAGCAGCATTTCAAAGACCACCGTTTAGTGTAGTGCTCGCTGCATGCTGTCCCACGCGTAGATGTCCTGACTTGCCTTCACGATGGCCCGTGTGCACTAGCACCGTCTCATATGAGCCAGGCACAGAGCGTGTGAGTAATTGAAGTCAGTCGCCCAGCTTTACGCCACAAAGGAGCAGGACCGGGTCTGGAAGCCAAGTAGTCTGGCTCTGCTCAGTGCTTCAAGTCTAAACTCTGCTGCCTCTCTAGTAAGACTATAGAATTCTAATATTGATAAGAATCGGATCACGTCTTTCTTGCCTTGATGGGGGAGTCATCACCTATTAGTGGGTCCTTAATCCACTTTGCCAAGAGTAATAATAGCTCCTTGTAGTCTTTAGCATGATGATTAAGTGAGGAAATTCATGTAAAGGGCTTAGCACAGGGCCTGAGGACAGAAAGTGTCCAGTTAGTGTTTGCTGTCATATTTTATTGAGCACCTACTATGAGCCCATCATTGTTCTTTGTACCGGAACCACTTAGAGCAACACGGCATCCGGCTCTGTCCTTTCATTCTGGGTCTGCCTGATACAACCTTATTTCCTCGGGGTCCGCATCCTGGTTCAGCTGTTTGCTCCCCCTTCCTCCATTCCTTCCTTTGTTCGGTCACTCAGTCATTTATCCATCTATCGATTGCTTCCTTAGGTGGTACCCATGGGCAGGTGGGTGAGGCCGGTGGGATGTGGTTTCCAGTGCTGCGTTTCCAGTGCTGACACAGGGGGTTGAGCAAGGGAGGGATGCTTGGGTCGCAGGAAGGGCTCAGGGTGGAAGCCATCCCTCGCAGCGACAACCCCTCAGAGCAGCTGCGTACCACCAGGCAGGTCACGCCCGAGCAGCATCTCAAACTCGTGCCCAAAACCAGTGCCCATGGACTTCCATGATGAGACCTGACCTGGTTAGCGGTCACGCAAAACCACAAAGGTGATTTCTTCAGTTTAGACCTGCGATCCAAGATTTTCCTGAGGTTTTGTCATCTAATATTTTTAAGACAATTGAGAAGTCACAAAATGCATTCATTTATAAAATGTCTCTAAACCTGGAGCTCTCCCATTTTTCTCCGGAACTAGGCCTTCGCCTCAAGCCCCAGAAGGTCATCCGAAGTACTGTTTAAATAGAATTAATGAGGGGTTTCCATAACCACGCTCATGGCAGAAAAAGAGGTCAGACAGATATGTCGGCGAATATTAATCTCAGGCCTTCTAAATCAGTAAAGGAATTTTTAAAATCTATACTCTTGCTTTGGAAAAGATAGCTAAAGATTTTAAATACTGCAGACATCTGAAGTTTCAATACGCTTGTGCCTTTCATGCAACAAAATGAAGCAGTACAGAAACTAAGCAATTAGAGTCATAGAGCTTCGCCAAAACAAGTTCATTTATTCCCGTGAATTCTGAGTCGTTGTCATCGAAGCCTGCAGCCAGGGAACATGCAGAGCAGACAGAGGTGGCTCTTGTCGTTGG